ATTCCCATCCAGCTGAGTCCCTGGTCTCCAGATAACCTTTACATCCTTCTGAGCTCACTAACCTTCCTTTTCAACAGAAATTCAGATGCCTAACGAGGGAATCCCAGACCCTCTCCTTAGAACCACTCAGCTTGTCTCTGCGCCTTCCCGTCACTGGGTTTGTGCTCCAGAGGTAGATCTTGGCGTGGGCTGAGGAACATTACATGCGAAATAAAATCAATGTCAGGAGAAAAAATGGATGAAAAAAATGGGACAAAGGGAAGACAGCCTGATTTCCCAGAATGTTCAGATACAACATATGCATGAGGGAGAGAGAGCTCAGTAGGACCGATGACCACCACATGGAAATCAGAAAGTGGAAATCTTGTGCTTGAGCTTCTGGGAGGTAAGAAGTCAGGATTGGCACAGAGCTTAACTCTGGGACTTGTTCCCAGGCTGAGTCCTTTCGTCACAATGGGCACTCAATGACCTTCATCGTTCCCCCTCCCTGGTACATTGAAATGGCCTCCCCTGAGAGCTGTGTGACTTCGTGAAGCATAATCTCCCTCATCCGCAGAGCGATCCTTGGCCTTGTGTGTTTTTTAGGAAGGAGTTGGATTGGAGAAAAGACTAATCAGGACTGGCTGGTCCTGGTCGGGTTGGAATGGAAATGTCCTCCGGGAATGACCAGAGATTTTTTTGGACTAAAATGCTCAGAGAACACTACAATAGTGCCCTGTTCATTCTGCATCACAGTCATTGTGAAGAGAAAAGGGAGGCGGCATTCTGGCCATGGGATGGCGCAGATTTATTTACACAGCCTCAGGCATTGAGGGAGAGGGGATAGGATGTGGGAGGAAATGACGGTCTTCTATTTGGGAGAACTCTTTCAGTGCGGGTGCTAAAATCATTTATGTGTTATGATATCAGGTTACAGAACACAGTCTCTAGTGTGAGATAATAATAAAATGGTGTAACCAATGACCTGTTCAGAGTTCCATCTGGTGGACCTGTGGATCAAGTAGACTATTCCTTCTCTCCAGGGAAACCTTGGAGGGGCCTCCTAGGTACCTTCCAGGCATCCACATGCTACACAGCAAGGAGCCAACCTCTGATCTTCACCAGGTCCTGCCTCGTCCTCTTCCCTGGTTCTCTTAGCACCAGGGACAACTCTGAGCCCCCGTGCTGCAGGGGTCCCCCATTGTCATTTAGTGTCGTTCCGTATGTGTGTGCCCACATGACAAGATGTGACATGGATCAACTAAGCATGAGACCCCGCAGTAAGCAAAAGGAACACTGAAAACTATGATTAGTGATCAATAAAACCAAGCAAATACATTAAAACACACAAATATTTATTCTTAAATGCACTCTTTCAGGTCAAAATGAAATATGATAAGTCCTTATAAAATGACCAAAGCCTGGTAAGTGTGCTCAGTTGTTTGCATGCTCATTCTGTAACCAAAGAGTTACGGGTTCGATTTTCAGTCAGGACTCTGGCTGGGTCAAAGGCCAGCGTAAGCCCTGGTCCGGGGCCTACAGTTCCTGCTTTGAGCATGTACAAGAAGCAACCAATTGATGCTTCTCCCTCCCATTGATGTTTCTCTTTCTCCCTACTTCTCTTCCTTCCCCTTTCCCTAAAGTCAGTGAAAAATGAGTCCCCGGAAGAGGATAAAGAAAGAAAAACACTTGCAAATAAGAAAGAAAAGATTAAATATCCAGAAGAGGCACAATGTAAAAAGAGTGGCTCCTGACACAGACACTGTATGGGTCCATGAAAGGTCATTGTCCTGCGGTGCTGAGTCCCTGAGTGTATCTACAGGAACACATTGGCAGATATCATGACCACGATGACAAGTAGAAAATGTTTAATCTCTTCCATTAAAATGACCCTCCTTTCTGCATCGGGAAAAAGCCTGACACAGTTAATGTGTTGCATGATTTGAGAAAGCACCCTGGGCTGTCCCTTCAATTGGAGACTCCAAATACACAAGAAACAAAGGGCGCTTTCTGCTTCGGAGAGATCCTGTTCATTCAACATCGACCCATTGGCTCTTGTTGTCAGAGTCTCTCTTATAAAATAGTGACTGAATTCTGTAAAAGGAAATTGTGTTGCCACCTTAGAGAAAGAACACCGGAAGAGTACGTGCGGGCTCCTACATTCCTATCACATCGAGACACCTTGTAAACTACTGGACATGCTGTTGGAGCCAGGGAGCAGGACATACATCAGATGCCACGGAGGATCATCACAACACTTGTCACTCTGCTTTCTACTGCCGTTCAACACAAAGGACGTTGTAACACACACACCCCCCCGAGGCAAGCTCACCGTATGACCAGCATTCCACAGACTCAGGGCTGAGACTCAGGCCAAACATTATCCTGTGTCTCCAATAGCAAAGGCCCCTTCCCACTGTGCTGTGACCCAGCTGGGGAAGGGTCACCTGGGTCACTGTTTCAGCCTGGATGATGGAAGCATGAAGGCTCTGACTCTTGATGGGAAACAGATGCCATAATGGGAAAAAATGTCAACAAGTAACTTAAACACAGAACATTACAACAAAGATGTAACCTCGAGATACGATGCACATCCACCTTGATTTGATGGGATAGAGAGAGGTCATTTTCAAGATCTGGCACATTCTGAGCTGAGGCTGGAAGAAGTCTTACCATGTCAGATGATGTGGTCACAGTGTAATGCAGAAGAACCAGGGCCCCCAAAAGGGTATTTGTAACGGGTCCAGAAATTGGGGTGTTCAAGAAAAATATTTTCTCCATACCCCAAGACATGGGGGATGAGAGATCTGGAGTAGAGCCATTGAGAGTTACTTTGTGTATTGGTAACAGGCCAGCTTCTTCCAGGTAGTGGAGCAGGGCCATTAAGAGTCATTTTGCGAGTCAGTCACAGGATAGCTTCGGACCTCATATGCAAAGAAGATTATTTTACATCTCAACGAGGCTAACCAGGAAGGTCTGGAAAACTTATAATACAGAATGCAACTGAGTGAGGAAGAAGAAGAGACAGGGGCCTGTGGGAGAGACAAAGAGACACCAACTCTGGGGAACAATGTGAAGACCACGCAGGAAGAAAGAGGGGAGAAAGGACACTTGCTAGTGGGCCATGGGTAGGTGCCACATGGTTTTGGATTAAGAGCTGGAGATGGCAGCGATGCAGTGGATGGTGCTGGGAACGGCAAAAGGCCTGCCAAGCTGAGCCCCGGACTTCTGTTCTTTTTCTTCTGAAGGACGGTACCTCTATCTGGCCTGACTGGCCCAACTGGGCAAAGCTGGGAAGGCAGGATTGTGTGTGTTTCAAATGGTGGGAGTTTAAAGGGGCTTTTGAGATTTAAGAGCGACATTTAGCCATTCATTAATCAAACCTGTGTAACTTTTGAATAAATAGATCCCTTCCTTTTCACCAAACTCTGCCACTGAGAACCATAATTCCAAGGGTGGTGGGCAAAGCACCTACAACCGAGGGACCCCGGGGAAGGAGGGTGTCGTTTCGGTAATAGCATCTGGGCATCCCACCCCATGGGTCCATTGTTCGGTAACAACAGCACCACCTCTGCTGGCACCTAAATCCCAGCTTCAGTCAATGGTCAAAGAATTCTGGGACTGATGGTTACATGTATTCGCATGAATATTTTGTGTCATTGTAACAGGGATTGCAGCTAGAAATGTGTTGGATCATTATGAAAATTGCATGCTTTGGAGAGCCCTTAGGAATGCTGGGCACATCCAACACATACCTGAAGAACCAAACAGCCATTTAGAGAGACCCCACTGACACGGGGAGACTGTTCACTTGCAGGGCTGCTTCCAGTAGAATCGCTCAGGTATCGGAGATGAGGGAGATTCTGAGAAACCACAGCATCTTTCACTCCTATTATCACCCCAAAACTTCCTGTTATGGGAAATATTAGGAGGCCAGAGAGAGAGGAAGGAAGGAGGGGAAAAAAAGGCAACCCAGAGGGAAGGACTGGAAAGAAAAACTTTGTTTTCATTCCCACTTCATTTGTGGAGATCTTAAACCAGTTTGGTCCTCACACGTGTGGGAGTCCAGGGAATTTAAAGGGAGGAATTTGATATGAGGCCAGGGACACAGTAAGAAGCAAGTTCCCTGAGCAGCATTGTCCTGCTGACCTGTAGGACCCAGAGGAGGGCCACACTGGGGCACACCTTTGGAGGGACCTGCTAGGACTTGAGTCTGATTATAGATTTCGTAGCAAACAGGGTGGAGTAAAGAGTCCTGAGGCTCATCAGCATTGCCTTGCCTAACAACTGTCTCAGGGTGGTCACACCTCTTCAGGTGATGCAGGATAATCCCCTCAGACAGAGGTGGGGAGGCTACTACTGCTGAATCGGCAGGGGCCAGGAAATGGGGGGATGTGCGGGAGCTCTTCCACTATCAAAGAAGACTCATCAAAATTAAGAGACTCAATATTCCCAGCTTCATCAGGGTCTTCCCTTACATTCCCATCCCAACTTGTAGGATCCCATTTTACTTTAGCCCATGAAAAGATGAGGTCCTGCATCTGATTCTCAGCAGTTTCAGTCCAGCTGCTACTTCATTAAGGATTTCCCTCAGAGCGCACCTAGAAGCTCCACGCCATCCAGAGGTCTCTTGAGCTGAGAATTGAAATCCCTGAGCTCCTCTTTGTCTCTCAGCACATTAACCCGCAACATTAGGAGCAAGCAACCAATGTCATTGTATTTCTTAGTGTTCTTAAAGTGTTCAAAAGCATCTTATACACAATCATTAGCTCCGTGTTTCTTAAACATGATTGACTAGAAGTATCCAATACAGATATAGTGCTTACCTCAATGAACAAACAGTTCAGGACATGGACCAGCCATGCTCCCTTTACCAATGGCACTAGAGTCATTGACATCAGTCCATCTAATCAGATTAAACAGCCACTTTCAGATAATTGAGGATCGATACAGAAAACTCATCATTAAAATCCTATTTATTAAGAATGACTGAGTACCAACATCTGCATTAAAACTATGAGTCAGGGTTCTTCAGAGACACAGGCTTTATAGAAGAAAAATTGACACGGATTTGGAGGCTGAGAAGTCCCACAATCCACTGCAAGCTGGAGACCTAGGAAAGCCAAGGGTACAAGTCAGTCAGCGCTGAAAGACCGGAGAATTGGGGGCTGACAGTGTGTGCTCAGCTTTGAGTCCCAAAAGTGAGGAACCGCAGTGCCACTGTCTGAAGACAGGAAAAGACCGGTACCTGTGATGAAGCAGAGAGCAAATTCCTCCTCCTTCCACCTTGTCAGTTCAGGCCCTCAGGTGTGAGATGCTGTCCAACACAGTCGGCAAGGGAAGCAACATTGTGCACATTTCCTGCCAGGTTAGGAATTCATTGCTCCAAAGGGGGTGGGAATTCTAAACAAAACAGTGGCAGCTCAAATTCCTTCCTGCTCAGCTTCCTAGCATATGGGGCCAAACTGAGGTACCTTAAAAGGAAAAGAACATCTAACCCTTTCTCCTCTGTCCCTCAGCAAATCCTCACCTGTCTCTATTGACCTTCTCTCAGCAACAGGCATGTGGAGGAATCACCCCTGAGGAGGGCCATGCTGACTAGAGACCGTGGGGACCCTGACGGCAGAAGACAAGGTTCTTCCTGTGCAATTAAATCCAACGTGCGCGGCAGTGGTGTGGAGGCCACAGCATGTAAAGGGAAGACGTTCCCGAGAAAGTGAAAGAGCCCCAAGCGCCACAACGGCTCGCCCTGTTACCTCACTGCAGGCCGTGGGAAGAGTTGCATGTTTGGGGGCTATGACACACGTGCATAGTGGAAACTGTTTACTGTCCCAAACAAAAGATCAGAGAGTGTGTTGTGTCCTGCATGTTATGGTGAGAGAGGAGAGAGCCACCGAGAGAGAGATTGTCCGGGACATTGTGTACGAAGCCCTAACTGCTCAGGCTGGGGAAGCAGCTTCAGCGCAAGGAGGGAGCCTGAGAGCACAGGGCAGGTTTTGGTCTCACTTCCCCATGAACTTGCACCACTGTGGTTAGTGCTACTGCTGGAATATGAAGCACAGTAATAATCCGCCTCGTCCTCAGGCTGGAGCCCAGAGATGGTCAGGGAGGCCGTGTTGCCGGACTTGCTGCCAGAGAAGCGGTCAGGGATCCCGGAAGGCCTCTTACTGTCATAATATATCAGCATTTTGGGGGCCATGCCTGGTTGTTGTTGGTACCAGGAGACCCTGTTACTATAACCGACATCATTGCTGCTTCCAGCACAGGTGATGGTGACTGACTGGCCCGCAGACCCAGACACTGAGGGCGGCTGGGTCAGGGGAGACTGGGCCCAGGAACCTGAAAAGAGCAAAAACACACTCAGTGCCTAGTTTACTACTGGGCCCGCCTGACCCTGAGGAGGACACAGAGAATCAGCCCAGACGTCCCCATGGTCCCTTCCCTGGAGGCCTCACCGGAGCCCTGAGTGAGGAGGGTGAGGAGCAGCAGAGCCCAGGCCATGGTGGAGATCCCCCAGGAGAGCTGCAACCTGAGACCCCAAGCCTGAGCCTGGCTCCCCCAGACCTCTCTTATCTCCTCTTCCTGCCTCGGGGAGGGAGGGGCCTCCATGCAAATCTGCTCCTGCACCTGCCTCTCCTCACCCCACTGTGGCCTGGTCTTGGGCTCTAGGTACACGTGCAGCCCTGGGGAGTGGAACTTACTGAGGCGTTAAAGCTCGTTGATCATTATGATTCATGAGACAGAGTTTACTCTTATATTATTATTTACTCATTATTGTATTATATTCCATATGAACAGCTATAAATTTCTACTCCACTGTTTATGTATGCATATTGATATGTACATATAATGCATCTCTAAAAACACTTAAAAATCTGCCTTTAAGCAGACTCGTGCAGTTCAAATGCACACACAAGAGTCTACTATAGTTGTGACCCATGTCGGGAATCCACATGTGCAGAGAGCTGAGGTGGGTTCTCTCACCTGTGGGTGGAGGGCGCCCCCTTCCTCTCATTCTGTTATATACGCATAAAACGAAGATTTCTATTGAGCGGAAGCAGAATGGGCCACCCCAAGATACGATGCTTGGGATGCGGATATATACATATTTCTCTTGGTTTTGTTCTTTGAAGAAACCTGACTAACACAGTCACCTTCCCAAACAGCTCGATCTTCTCATATTACGCGCACCATCGATTATTTTTTAAACTGTCTTACCAGGTATCCTGTCTTCCTCTAGTAAACAGTCAATACCTTCACGCTCACATCATCTAGGCTCGAGCAGTGTCTCACATGGGAGCCTCAGCAGCTGGGTCCCAGCACACTGGGACGGGTCTCTGGGTCAGCACGGGTCAGAACAGTGTCCTGAGTCACGGCCCCTTGCCTGGTCCAAGGTCGCACCCGCCTCTGAGGGAGAGTCTTTGTGGACCAAAAGGAAGAGGGTGAAAGGAACACTGTCTGGGTGCCGCTGTGGCAGCTAATGTGAGGCCTGCTCCCTGACTGAAATGACATCCATGGGACCTTTAGAACACTTTCACATGACAGAAGAGGCCAGGAGGCCACCATTGCCTCTTCCGGTGTGTCTCCCTATAAAGTGGGGACACAGTGTCCTTCAGAGAAAGTAGTTACTCTCTTTGCCAGATGAAGGATTCCCAAGGAAACCAGAAACTAGATACTGAATTAACAGAATCGTTTCAACAGGAGATTTCTGGAGCAGAGAGCTCTTCTGTCTTGTATGGGGAGTATTGAGCTGTATGAGCAGCCTCCTGAATTTTCTCAAATAATTAAACTCTATAAATAGTTAAATTTTTTTAAAGGAGAAAAAGCCCCTCTCAAGAGAAATCATGTAAAATGTTTCAGATGTCCCCATGGTCATTATATAAACCGACGTTTTTATTATTCAGTGCAATGAGGGAATCAGCATCTCAGGACAGTTACCATTCCGGAATCCATTAAATTCCAGAGTCACGTGTCACTATATCTCCTCTGCATATCTTATCTCTCTTTCCTTCAAAAGATGCTATCATTTAAGGAATCACTCTATTCAGTTCATCACACAAGGTAAGAACCCAGGAACTCATTTTTGTTTCTAAAAAGATATGCTTTGTTTTATTGGTTATTAATCATATTATGTATAAAGGATAACTTTGCCTCCTTTCCGTGGCTGTCATGCTTATTATTTCTGTCATATCTTATTGGGTGAGCACAGAATTCTAGAGGAGTTTTACATAAACATGCGATTCCTATATCACAGGGATCCTTGGCAAACTCCTGGTAGTAGTAGGAGGTGGAACCGATCAAGGCAGCTCCTCCTGCAGGGCAGCGCTGTCCTTCTCGCGCTAGCGCCTGGCCGCCTGGAGCGGTCACAGGAGGAGCCTCCAATGTGATCCCGAGAGATGGGGACCCGAACGGCTACTGGGCTCTGAACCTGGTCTCAGAGGCCTAGCGGAGGTATGACAAGAAGGCCATCAACCAGTTACCATTGCATTAGTACCTCACTAAACAGATAGCACTGTCTAAACAGAGCCCGAAATAATACAGCACGTGAATGTTTGAAACACACAGAAACTAGAGCCTCAAACCGCACGCTGTCTCTTCTTCACCCGCACTTGTCCTTTCTCCCCAGAGGCCACCACTGTGCTCCTCCCGGGATCTCAGCCAGGGCTGCGCCTTCACAGCTCCTGGAAACACCTGCCTCACGGGGTGACCTGCGGCACTAAAGCGGTTTCACCAGAACCCTTGTATTCCAGCGGGGACCCGATCCTTTTTCAGAGGGATGTTTCCATTTCCGTTCTCAAAAGGATCTGTGAGGCCCAGTGGTAGTCTTTGCTCCAAACTGGTCTTCTTCAAGAAGACCACACTAGGTCAAGCGTCTGTCTGGGGACGAGGCTTTGCCTCAGGAAGGGGCACAGTTCTGAGGCAGTCTCTGTGCACAAGGAGACAAGACTAAGGATATCTTGTGTGCCCTGTGACACAGAGACTTGCTCTAATGATAAGTTCCAGGACCTGGGGTCCTAAGGACAAATCTGACCCCACTTCCCTTCTTCCACATCCTCAATCACTGGATTCTTCCTCTTGATTCCTTTTAGGCCATTCCCCCGCCTGACTGAGCTCTCCCTCTTGGTTGCATTATTCTTTCTAACCCTTCTGAGAATTTCATCTTCTCCTGAGCCCACTCTTCACATCTGTGTACTTCCTGGGGTTGGATTAATTTCATGTGTAACGTTTCCTGAGCTGACATCCACCTCACATCCCGCAGCCCTGGGATAGAGCCTTCCTGTATTAAGCAAGGTGACCGTAGTGGGTGCATCCGGACCACCAATACTGCAAGTGGCAGAAGTCACTCTGGGGGATATCAAGGAATTTGGACTGGCTCAGCGGGGACCAGGGGACCTGGGAATGAGCTGGGAGGGGGGAGGGAGGACACGAGCAGGGGCAGAGCGCGGCACTAGGCATTTACCACGTGATCCCTCAGGTCCAGGGAGGGCCTGTCTTTGGAAAGGTCATTTCGGTTGTTGTCCTGTGCTGTTTGAACTCCCAGTAGCTGCTCCCTGAGCCACTCCTAGTGGGGCTCATATGGAAGAAGAAAGCGGTGTTCAGTATCTACTGGGCCCCAACCACTCCTTTTCTAGGGGTCTCAGTAGACTTCTCCCCACAAAGGGGGATGAAAGGGTTTGGTGGAGAATGACAGACGTCCCGCTCTGCCTTTGGGCCTGGGAAGGGCAGGCATTGGATCTCCCTGACCCCAGCCAGCCTGGGTGGGTCTCCTCCGCTGTCTCCCACACAGCAATCGGTGGCTGTCCCAGGATTTCTTTGCCATCCCCACTGTGACTTCCACAATAGGAGGTAAGGACACGGCAAGGCTGGCTTCAGTCCCTGGGCCGTGTCATGGCTCAGACTGCAGAGACCCAGGAAGTATACAGGGTAGGGCAAATTAGGTCTACAGTTGTGAGTATGGGAAACGGAGAATGTATTCTGGGGTGATTATTCATAAACTTTTGTGTTATTTTCCCTGTGAACCACTGTAAATATCTTTTGCTCACCCTGCTCTCTGCTCTGTGCTCTCCGCAAGCCAGAGAGCCAGTAAAGCTGGCGCCGCAATTCAGTGTCAGCACTAGGGCCTGAGACCCAGGAGAGCTGATCATGTACATTTCATATGTGGGTGGGAGGAGGTGGGATGAGATGTCCCCCTTCAGTCGGTGAGAAAAGAGAGGTGAATTCCTTCTTCCTTCACCTTTTGTTCACTCAGGTCTCAGTGGGGGGTAGGAGCCCAGCCACATGGAGAGGGGAGTCTATCCACTCTGCTGAGCCCACCAATTCAAACGCCACTCTCGTCCGGGAACCCCCTCACACATGCCCCCACAGGCAAAGTTAAACTGGGCACCCCACAGTCCACTCAAGTTCACCATCAAGTCAGTCATCACAGTGACAATCTTTCCTAATTTGCCTGAGATTGAGGACCTTGTTTAGATATGGCACCTCTAGCGTTAAATCAGGGAACATTCTGGCAAAATGGGAAGAACTGGTCGCAGTCCCGTTTTTCTGATGCCTAAGCCTAGGTCATTCAGATCGTGAAACAGTTCTTGTCATTACATATATGAGCTAGAAATATACATGTGCCAGCAAGTAATTGCATTGGTTCATCACAGAAAAGGGACACGGTGGGGATTCTTGTGAAAATGGGGACACACCCACTAGTATCGCCTCCTTGTCGAAAAAAGAGCCATTTTGGAAAGAGCCCAGCGTGATGGGGAGGCCGCATGGTGCAAAGTTCCTGCCAGGTTAGGAATTCATTGCTCCAAAGGGGGTGGAAATTCTACATAAAACAGAGTGGCAGCTCAAATTCTTTACTGCTCTGCTTCCTAGCATATGGCGTCAAAATGAGGTTTCCGCAAAGGAAAAGAATGTTTAACCCTTTGTCCTGCAGTCCCTCAGCAACATCCTGCCTGTCCCTAGTTGACCTTTTCTCAACAACAGGCGTGTGGAGGAATCACCCCTGAGGAGGGCCATGCTGACGAGAGAGCGTGGGGGACTCTGACGGCAGAAGATAAGGGTCTTCGTGTGCAACGAAATCAACATGGTAGGCACAGGTGTGGAGACCACAGCATGTAAAGGGAAGGTGTTCCTAGAAAGTAAAACAGTCCCAAACGTCACAAACGCTCTCCCTGTTACCCCACTGCAGGCTGTGGGAAGAGTCACATACTCGGGGACAATGACCCACATGCAAAGAGGAAACCGTTTACTGTCCCAAACAAAAGATCAGAGAGTGTGTTGTGTCCTGCATGTCCTGGTGAAGAGGAGAGAGCCACTGAGAGAGAGATTGTCCGGGACATTGTGTACGAAGCCCACATTATTTAGGCTGGGGAAGCAGCTTCAGAGAAGGAGGGAGCCTGAGAGCACAGGGCAGGTTTTGGTCTCACTTCCCCATGAACTTGCACCACTGTGCATACTGTTAGGATTCCTATACGAAGCACAGTAATAATCCGCCTCGTCCTCAGGCTGGAGCCCAGAGATGGTCAGGGAGGCCGTGTTGCCGGAC